ATTTCGGCGTTTGGGGGGCCCCAGTCGGAAGCCAGGCAAGGGCTGCTAAATCCGTGGCTGCTAAAATCGACCTCCGGGAAGTTGTCTTCGTCCTTCCGGTAAGTTGTCTCCGTCGACTGTTTCGCGTGCCGCGCCTCATTCTGGGAAGTTGTTTCTTTCCTTCCGGGAGGGCCGCTTTGGCAGCCACGGTTTCAGCGGCCCTCGCCCAGCTTTCGACGCTGGGCCCGCACCAAAGGTCGCTCCGGCCACGGGTCACTCTTCCGTGTAGCCGGCCCCCGTTTGACTACCTACCAGACCACCCCAACCCAACCCGAAGACCCGAACTTCGGGTGGGGGGGGGTAAGGGTTCCACATGTGCTTTTTCGATGTTTCCCGACCCCCCCCCACTGGAAATCGAGGGTAAATCTGAGCCTTCGGGTTGGGTTGGGGTGGTTTGGTGGGTGGTGACCGTTCTCCCCGTTGGGTTGGACGGGCGCCAAACACGTCCTCCCCGTAGGAGGTTGTTGGGGACGGGCCTAAAGCCAGAGCACCTCCTCGTTCAGCCAAAATCGGAGGCCTCCGAGTCTGACTCGAAACCGCAGTCCGAGGCTCGGAGGGAGGCGGCCCCTAGGTCCTTGACCCAGGATAAATCCGACTCGGACAGGCCGAACGAATCCAACACCTGCTCTCGCGGGGCGAAGCCCTCCGCGGAGCCGACATTCACAGGACCTGAAACTCCCTGGGGGGCCTGGCCATCCTCTACCAGCGACTGAGCCAAGACCCTCTGCTCGGCGAGGCTCAGGCTCTCATGAGCCCCCAGAGTCAAATTCTTCAGGTCCTTCTTATACGAGGGAAACTTGCCCTGCCGAATCCTTCTCAGCTGGTCATTAATTCCACCCGTCGTGAGTTTGGGCCTGCACAGGCCTTTAGCTCCAGCATTGGGAGCCCCAGAGAAAAACGATCCGCACCGACAACAAAATTGGATCCTACCCCTGGGGTTTCCAGGAGGTTCAATGACAGGGCTGGCCAAAAAAGCATGGCCGTTGGCCCGAAACACTTGCCGAGAGAATGAACGCCACTCCTCCCCCAAGTCCGAAGAACCTCCCACCTCCCTTTGATCGTCGCCCAGGGCCTGGCCGAGGGCCTCAGCCTCTTGTGAGTGCTGCCCCTGGCCATCGCTGCCTGTCGACCTGGGCACTAGGCCTGTAGTGTCACGGGGCCCGTTGGACATCAGTACCTCCGCCGATCCAGCCCACCTGCAGGCCTCGCGGGCGAGGCACCTGAGGCCTCTGTACAGGCTGGCCTCTTCGTCGCTGACCCCGTGACACTCGGCTCCTAGTTTGGCGAACTTATCTGCGAGCCCATTGGCCCGTCTTTCCCAAACACTGCTCCTGCCCGCCTCGACATCGGCCGCCGTGGCGTGGCCGAGCGTCTTGAAGCACTCGAGATCGCTGAGAGTGAACGAGCTCCACACGGGGCCCCAAAGATGACCACGCGGGGCTCCAGGGCCCTCCGCGAACCCAGGGCCCCGAGACAGCGAATCCAGAGTGCTCTGGCAATCTATATAGCATTGAAACGGGGGAAGACCAACTTGCGTAAGCATATATACAGCATAGTCTTCCCCATCTTTGCTAGTTTGCTGCGGGGCCGCACTCAGAGGAACTGGACCATAGGCCGCCGAGAGCGACTCCCCGAACCTGTCGACCGATACGATACTCCAACCAGCCCGAGTGAGTCCATCGAGGCCCATGTATTTGGCCGACCCGTCCAGGAATAACAACCCCGTCAAACGCCCCGTCTCGGGCCTCTCGTGCCAGTGAACTGTTTGCGTGGGCTCCTCGACGTCGAAGAGCGAGCGAGGGTGAGGAAAGATGCACCTCGCGAACCTCTCCGCCATGAGCGGCCCGAACTGCTTCACTCTCTGCGCACACCTACACAAGTGAGCACTCGCATGGTCTCGCCGCCATGCTTCGTGCGCAGGGCACTCGTACTGACGGTGCCACAAAGTACCTGGGGCCCCCTTGCACACCTGACAAAGATCATCATCGTGGAGGTTGTGAGCATGAAGTCGGGCTTGGGGCCAGTGAACTCCCGAGACCAAACCTCTTAAACATCGCTGATGGTGCTTCCCCCAGGTTTCGGACTTCTCCTTGAACATCCTGGAAATGCCATCCCAGAAGATAGGGTACACAGGTGGCCCATCAAGGCCATTCTGCAAGAGAAGGGCATGCCTATCTGACGCTCGCACAGCACCTTGCCTGATCATAGACCTGACCTGCATCGGGGAGAGCCTGAGCAAGTCATGCACAACGTTCAAGTCATCTTTGATGGTGTGCTGGTCTACAAAGTCCCAGCCTATGCCCCGCAACGTTAAAAGCGCGACGTCGCTGGGGGAAGACGCTGACCTCCAGGGCTGAGCTGAATTCTGAAACTTGGCGATCGAGACCCTCATGGTATTGGCCAACACCTGAACGTGAGGGACAGCTTCCCAAACTGCAGTCGCCCACATGAAAAGCACGTGCCCCACGTAAACCACCAGAGGGTCTACCTTGACCCCAAGCCCATACGTGTGCATCCTGAGCCCAACCGAAGCACCTTTAGGGAGCCTGCCTAGGGAACTAGCAGCCCCGATACGGAGCCCAGCCAATTTTGTGGGGGCCACCCCAGAGACCGATGATCCCCATAGGGCCGATGCCACTGGCCCCATCCTGTGAACCATCCCGATGTCGGCTCCACCTCCTTTTAGTATCTTGAGCCTCCTGGCCCTGCGCGACGCACCTGCAAACCTTGAGTTCTGAATACCGATCCTGCGGAGGCCTCCCAAGGTAGCGTTGGTTCCAAGATTCCTCGCCGTGTCGGTGCGGCAAGAGGTGGGGAGGGACCAGGCCTTGGACAGGTGCGCCTCAACCTCCTTCGAGCAAAGGTAGGCACACTTCTTAAACGCCACAGGGAGCTGCAGCTGCTTGAAACTCTTGATCAGAGACTCTACTCCCCCAGCCAGTTGGGCCGCCACCTGATGCTTGGGCCCGCAACACTGAACAGTGATGTCGTCCACCACATTACGCACATACAACAAGTTCCTGCTCTCACGGGCCTCCAATAGCGGTCCTAGTAGCAACATCTTGGCGAACGTCGTAGCCCCCGAACACCCAGCCACGATTGCCCCGTTCGATTCGACGACGGCCGACGAAGCTCCCCCGTAAAGAAGCACACGGTAGCCAGCATAGATGGTACAGTACGCTTTGACCAGCCTGACTGGGAAACTAAACCGTTTAGCTGCGACCAGGAGGTCCCCGTGGTTGACATTCTCATAGAACTTAGCCAAGTCCAAGAGAGCCGACGCTGATTCGAAGCCTGCTTTACGACAATGCGCCCCGAGCAAGTTGTGGACCCATCCGGCCCTCTCGCACGTCGTGTCGGGCCCTGAGCCCCAGAAAAATTCGTACACGTGGGACTTTTCCCAGGAGCGGCAATACGGCTGCCTCAATCGGCTCCAGAGCTTCGTGAAAAGGCATAGCAAACCGATCGGCCTGACCCCTCCCGTTGGTTTGTCCCAAAAAACCACATTGGTCAGGAACATCACGACGGCCCCTGGGTCGACCTCGAAGAGCGTCAAAATCTCCAGGAGCCGAAACTGGTAACTTTCGGGCAGCAGCAAAATCCACCGCGGGTTAAACCCATCCCAGCCTAGGCCCGCCGCGGGCCCGTACATCTTACAAACTCGATGTAAATCCTCCAGTCTGAGCGGGGAAAGGGCAGGCTCGTCGGCAGGAACTTCCCAGGAGCTCGGTGCGGGCCCGCGGCCAGCTCGGAACCACATCGGATGCCACGCATCGACAAGCTCTTGCACTGCGGCCTGACCAGCCACTGGAAGCCGAGGATCATCCGACGTACCTCGCGAAAAACCACACGAGACCTGCTGCTTGGAGAAGGCATGCGCCGCTTTACCACCTCCAGAGACGGCATTCTTGGCCCATTCCTTCCACTTAGCGAGCTGCGAAGCCGCGTCCAGCCTCTGGCGACGAGTGCACTCTTTGCAGATGGCCCCATTGACGACGTCGTTCCAGGAACCTTCTCCCGATGCCGCCCTAACAATGGAGTGCAACTGGGCCTTTGTGGGCCCATCTTCCGTCAGCTGGAGGTCCTCCAAAATGTCGAACAGCTTGAGCTTCCAGGATCCCAGAAGAGCTCTTCCCTTGGCACCTGGGTTCCCAGCACTGATTGCCTTTGCCTTCTTGAGCAGGGCCTCGAACGAGATCCAGCAGACAGTCTGCTTCGAAAAACGCCGGCGGTGATCTCGCTCTAGCAGCGCCACTAAGGGAACTTTGCGAGACTTGGGCCCAGCGGAGCGACCTACATACCCTTTCTGATCACTTATTCCATGAATTTCAACAAGGCGAGCTTCGGCTTCCCCGAACCACTCCCGAGCGAGCGTGTTCAAATCTGAGTTTAGAGGGTCGCTCCATTGGATGTCCCTTTCCTGCGGCAGAGGCCCCATGAGCGCGGTGCTGAACGGCTTGAAACGCGTCTGCTGCTGGACTACCGCCGTCTGGCAGAGGTTCCCCAACCGAAGCAGCACAGGGCAATGGGGAAAAAGAGGCGCTCCTCGGATAGCCTGGACATCTTTGATGCACGAACTGATAGCCGATGACACGACGAAGAAGTCAAGCTCCCTTCCTCCCCCGTCAAGCTCCGTCAGCTCCTCCTCCTCCATATCTTCTCCCCTGGCAGTCCTAGGAGCGCAGGCCGAGCAGGTTGCCTGACCAGATGAGGCTAGCACACCGTGCACATGCTGTATCCAACCTGATAGCTGGAAAGCCGCGGGCGTGAAATTCCAATCACCTTGCACGACCCACGGGCGCTTACTGCATAAAAGAAGCGCCCCCAGAACTTCCAAAAAACCTCCCCGTAGGAGGAGCAGGAGGAGGAGGAGGAGGAGGAGGAGGGGAGGAGGAGGAGGAGGAGAGGAGGGGAGGAGGAGGAGGAGGGGAGGAGGAGGAGAGGAGGAGGCCCCCCTCGACCTCCGCCGACGGGTTGGACGCCAGGTGCACGAGCAGCAGGCAGCCCATGCCCAGCGCGAGCGTCCTCGGCGGTGCGCACGAGGGACGGGCGCCGGGGGCGGCGGGGACGGATCCCCAAGCAGGCCTGGAGGCCTACATGCATACATACATACATACATACATACATACATACATACATACATACATGCATGCATGCATGCATGCATGCATGCATACATACATACTTACATACATACATACATACACACACATACATACATACATACATACATACATACATACATACATACATACATGCATACATACATACATACATACATACATGCATGCATACATACATACATACATACACACATGCATGCGTGCATGCATGCATGCATACATACATACACGCATGCATACGTACATACTTATACACAAACATACAGTCATTCATGCATGCATGCATGCATGTATGCATGCATACATACATACATACATACATACATATATACATACATACATACATACATACATACATACACACAATCATGCATACACAATAACACACATACAAACATGCCTAAAGCCATTCCTATCTACATACATGCATACATACATGCATACGTACGTACGTACATACATACACCTACATACGTACATACGCACATATATATATATATATATATATATATATATACAAGATTGCAGTGGCGCTTCGCGCTATGCACCTTAGTCCTTGAAGTTCGGCATGCAGGCGGAATAGCAGGAAGGTCAAGCCGACAATGTAGCGATAACTCCTTGTTGCCTTTTCCGGCATCGCCGCTATAATACTGTTTTTTTGTTATCCTTCCTCCATGCTTCTTCTTCTTCCTCGTGTTCGCCATACCCTGCGCATTCTCCCCATCCTCCTCAGCTCTTTTTGCGGAGGCTCCTCCTTGGAGAGCCTCTGGGGGCCTCACTAAAGCTGTTTCAGGCTTTCTTGAGGCCTTCTGGAGGCCTCCAGGGCGTATTCTGGGGGCCTCTGGGGGCTTCCTTGGGCCACCCGCGGTCTCCCGGAACGACCGGGTCGCGATTTGGAATGCTTCAGAAGGTGTCTTGGGGCCATCTTGGGCCGCCGTGGGGCTCTCTGAGGGCCATCTTGGACCCGTGTTGTTGCCGTTTTGGGACTCTCTTGGACTGCCTGGAAGCCCTTTCGGATGGTTGTGGGGCGATTTTGGAGCCTCCCAGGCGGCTTCGGACGCCCAGAAGACCGCCGTCTTGCAGCGTCGGGAAGTCGAAAAGAGGAAAACCCCCAAATTCACCAAAAACAAAAAAATCAATGATTTTTGCCCTGGGAATGCCCTTGGGCCATTCTTGGGAGTGCTCTTGGAGGCCTCGTTGGGGCCGTCCTGGAGGCCTCTTGGGCCATCTTGAGGTTACGTCGGTCACTCTTGGAGCGCTCTTGGGCTGTCTTGGGGGTCTCTGGGGCGTCTCCGATGACCTCCCTGATCGCCCTAGGTGTGCTGGGAAGGCTTGGCAAAACGCCCTGCGAGGCCCGGGGGGCCGCTTCGAGGCCCGTCCGGAGGGTCCCAAAGCCCCAGATCCCGGGAGTCTGGTTTTTGGGGGGGGTCTGAGGGGTTTTCCCCCCGCCCAAGCTTATAAAACAATAAGAAGAGGAATCCACTCTGCTGAACTTGAAGTCGTCATCTCCACTGCTCGCGCAAACATCCCGCCCACCCACACGCAACTTGGTTTGCAAAACCTCTAAAGACCGACTACGACGACACCGACGACAACGACTACGACGACACCGACGTCTCCGACGACTTCGACGACGACCACGACGCCGACGCCAACGACGACGAAGACGACGACGACGAAGGCGACGACGAGGGAGGAGGAAGGACGACGACGGCGACAACGACGACAACGATGACAACGACGAGGGAAGAGGGAGGACGGCGACGACGCGAACGACGAAGAAGGAGGAAGGACGGCGACGCCGACGACGACAACGACGAGGGAGGAGGGAAGTCGACGACGACGACGGCGACAAAATAGGAGGGACGACGACGAGACGCCGACGACGGACGACGACGACGACGACGAGGGAGGAGGAGGAAGGACGACCACGGCGACAACGACGACGGAAACGACCACGACGCCAAAGAGGACGACGACGACGAACACGAGGAAAGACAGAGGACGACGTAGGCGACGACGACGACGACGACGCGGAGGAGGGAGGACGGCGACGACGACGACGACGACGACGACGACGCAAGAGCGCGCGCGCACGCTGTTGTTGAAAATCCGTGTTGCGAAACCTTGGATTTTTGTAGGTTTTCTGGACACACGATTTTGAAGTCCTTCCGAAACCGATGGGTTTTGAAGGTTTTCGGCGTACGCCCGCGACGACGCGCGCGTCTGCACTTCGTCTAATTTTTTGCAGAGGGTTCTCGCGACGGCACACGCGCAAGGGCGTTCGATAGATTTCGACATGCGCGCGCGCGAAGCTTGTTTGGTAGAATGTTGTGAAAATCTTGAAAACCAATGGTTTTCTGAAGATTTCGCAAGAGCTCGCGCGGATGCTTTTTTTGCAAACCAGTGTTGCGAAATCATGTGTTTTTGTATGTTTTTTGGAAACTCGATTGCGAAATCCTTCCGGCACCGAAGGTTTTTGAAGGATTTCGGCATGCGCGCGCGACGACGCGCGTGGGCACTTCGTCCCGTTTTTACAGAAGGGATTCGTGAAAAAGTGCTACGTTAGAACAAAAAATGTCACCGCATAGTGTTTCTTTACAAAGGAACCTCAAGGGGGGATACCGGTTGGCATTTGACATTGTGATTTCATATTTAGGATGGACATGTGGTCATAATCATATATGATTTACATACCCGAAAGGTGAAGTGATAACTCCGGGGGGGGGGAGATCCTATTCTGTTTTTAGAAATGGGAACATACATATCTACATACTATACGACCACCCTTCGGGTGACAAGGAGCTTGTGGGGGGGGAAAGAGGGGGGAACCACCATCTGACTCAATCGATCTCATTATCGATCTCACTCAACGGGACACCACGGGAACTCACAGGACACCACGGGACACTTGTCGACCTCACTATCGATCTTTATCGACCTCACTCAAAGGGACACCACACGGGACACCACGAGCCACCACAGGAAACCACGGGACACCGCGGGACATTTTTCGATCTCATATCGGTCTCACTGTAGATCTCATTATCGATCTCGCTCAACGGGACACCATAGGACACCACGGGACACCACATCGGGCGCACTATCGATCTCACTATCGATCTCACTCAACAGGACACCACTGGACACAACGGGACACCGGCGGGACACCAGCGGGACATCTTCCTGTCGATATCACTCGATCTCACAATCGATACCACTATTCATCTCACTATCGATCTCACTATCGATCTCACGATCGATCTCACGATCGGTCTCACTATCGATCTCAATATCGATCTCACAACCGATTTCGTCATCGGTCTCACTATCGTTTTCGCACCAGCGGGACACCGGGACACCGGCGGGACACCGGCGGGACACCACGGGACACCGCGGGCCACCGCTGGCCGGAGGGAGAATCATTTGGTCCAGCCGGGGTCCAGCCACAAGCGGGACACCGGCGGAACACCGGCGGGACACCGCGGACCACTGCTTGCAGGGAGAATCATTTGGTCCGGCCGCGCCTCAGCCACAGGAGACTTTCCTTTCGCCCGCCCACGCAGCTTCGCCTCGCCCGCACGCACGGCACGCACGAACACGAAACCGAAACCGATCTCCCGGTGGGGGGCTCTCCGTTCCACTTCGATCTCACCCCCCAACCTCCAACGTACAGGCATGCATACATTCATACATAGATGCGTGCATACATGCATACACACATACATACATACATACATAAATACATACATACAGACAGACTGACTGAAATACATACATACACACATACTATACGACCACCCTTCGGGTGATAAGGAGGTTCGGGGGGGGAGGAACCAACGTCTCACTCGATCGGTCTCACTATCGATCTCACGATCGGTCTCGCTCGATCGATCTCACTCGATCGATCTCACAATCGATCTCACTAGATCTCATTCATTCGATCGATCTCACAATCGATCGGACTATCGATCTCAAAATCGATCTCACTATCGATCTCACTATCGATCCCACAATCGATCTCACATTCGCTCTAACTATCGATATCACGATCGATATCACAATCGATATCACCATCAACGTCATCATCATCAACATCAACATCACCGTCATCAACGTTACCATCATCATCAGCAGCATCGTCGGGGCACCATCATCACCATCATCACATCATCACCATCATCATCAACATCATCACCATCATCATCATCGGGACACCATTGCCGTCACCATCATCATCAACATCATCATCATCAACTTTGGGACACCATCATCACCGGAACACCACCATCATCAGCATCATCATTTCATCCTCATGATCATGAACATCATCATCACCATCGGGACACCATCACCATCATCATGAGCAACATCATCATCAACAGCATCATCGGAATACCATCATCATCGTCACCATCAGCATCATCACCATCATCATCAACATCATCACATCATCGGAACACCATCATCATCATCAGCATCATCATCAACATCAGCATCATCATCACCATCATTGGGCCACCATCATCAACATCATCATCACCACCTCATCATCATCCTCATCATCGGGACACCGTCATCATCATCATCATCATCATCATCATCATCATCATCATCATCATTAGGACACTATCATCGTCATCATCAACATCGTCATCATCATCATCGGAACACCATCATCAACACCATCATCATCAACCTCACCATCATCATCGGGACACCATCATCATCATCTTCGTCATCATCATCAACATCACCATCATATGATCATCATCAACAGCATCAGGATCATCAACATCATCATCGGGGCACCATCATCACCATCATCAGCAACATCATCATCATCATCATCATCATCATCATCAACATCATCATCATCATCATCATCATCATCATCGGGGCA